TTTCTTGCTGAATTCTTCAGTTAACTGTGTTTGAGGGTTACAGATTTCAATTGTAAAAGATGAACCACACATATTTTAGAGGCAAGTTAATTTTAGAGCCATAATTAAAAATTTAAAGATATCATATACGACACTTTTTACTATGATAAGAAAGTGAGCCACAATAAATGTTTTTGAATGGCTAACTGCATAAGTATAAGAGAATATTAATTTCATCTGACATAAGAATTTGATCATATTTGAAATATAAATTGTATTCTTACATATTGATTCTTAATACTTTTAACTTCTTAGTCTTTGGTGTTTAAGAGTTGCTTGGAGTTCTGTTTTTGTTGTTATTCAAAAAATACATAATTATCTAAAAATAATTCTGTAATAATTAAGAAGTATGGAATACAAGACTAATATGCTTGTCCCCATCTACTAAGTAATCTAGAAAATTTAAGGAAGTTTCAGATTATACCATAGTGGAATTTATAGGGTATTTGAGAAATATGCACAAAAAGGTAATAGGAGGTCAATGTACAATTACGTGTCAAAAAGCATGGTCAAGACATTCTTGCCTGAGGGGTGTGATGAAGTAGGTAAAAGGTGATGAAGTCTTGGAGAATAAATATATTTGACTGGAAAGAAGGGAAGACAGGTCACTTCAGGTTGGTGAACAGCTTGAGCCAAGATGTACAGGTGAGAATGATACAAGTGATTTCAAAAATATATCAGTTAGGACTGTTTTGATGGCAAGTGAAGAAAATCCAAACCAAACTGGCTTAAGCAGAAAGGAAACTTATTATTTTACATAATTAGAAAGGTCCATGGATGGGACCTGGCTTCAGCGATGGATGGATCCAGCACTCAGTCAAAGCTCGGTTTCTTTCTGTCCTTCAATCCTGCTACCCTGAGTTGGCTTTAGTCCTGACATCATGTTGTACCAGGATGTGAAAAGTAGCTCCAGGCCTACTATCCTCTCAAAATGGAATTCATTACACCAAAAGTCTCACTTCATCTTATTGACTGGGCAGGTATCCATCCTGAACCAGTCATGAGTACTGAGGAATGCAGTCAGCTCAGGCTTGCTCTTAGGTGGCAAGCCCACCCCTGCCCTACCCTCAAAGATGGTAGGGTCACCTTCACTGGAATCAGTATGGGAAAGGGAAGATGTTCAAAGGGAAAGTAAGGTATGGTTAATTAAAGTAGGTAGAGTAAAAGGATGCTGTCCTAGAAGACACAGTGTCCACTAAAGGGACACAATGAGAACAGGGATCATTTTGAATAATAACAGGAACTAGACACTGGAAACTATTATAAGCACATTGCCAAGGATAGGACAAGGAATTGGATTTTATGAGGACTTATAAATAAACTGGACCTTGTGGAAATTGACCTGTCAACTGTGTATAGGATTATTGGGGATTGGCTGCTCCACAGAGAAATAGGTGACCTCTGTTGGACTTCTCCATATTTCAAAAGCCACAAAGTTCATAGAGTATCTTTTGTGTGCTATGAACTGTGGATAATGTAGAGAGGACATCCAAGATTTGATCTTGGCCCTTCGATGACTCTATAACATGGTGAGGAAAGCAGAGTCAATTGTGGGACAAGAGCAGCACCTACCAAATTGTTATGGGAACAGAGAAGAAAAAACTCCTAAAGTGAACCTCTGTCCATACAGCTGGGACTAGAATGATCCAGGCCCAGGAAGCAGAGGTGTATGGCAGAGACACCCTCTGGAACTTATTTGAGAGTAAGTTGGCTGGGAGCATCAGCATTAGCTGTAGCCTCTGAGATTATTTTGAGAACCTGCATGGGTAGGAGACTGTCCCTGTCGAGTCGCATAGGTCTCCCTGGTTTACAGGCCCTGAAATTCAGAATGGATTGGGACTCCATAGAATCCGGACTTGCTGTTCCAAAGTTTTCTCTGATCCATAGAGTGGGGACACCCTTATCTTTCAGCTTTTGATGCTGCCTTGGGACTTCTCTTCATGAACTCTGTGTGAAAACAAGACATGTGAGCCACTAGAGTACAGGCACCCTATTTTATTCTACTTGGTAGGCTTCAGAGTAAATGGCAAGAATTTATTTGAACCTTGTATAGAAGAAGGAGTTCTGTTCTGAGTTAGCAATGTGATATGGGCAAGTCTTTGTACATGCCTGGGCCTCAGTTACCTGCCTATAAGCACAGAGCATTGGACAAAGATGCTTTATGAAGCCATTCACTTCTGAAAGTCTAAACAAGTCCAATAAAAATAATTACCTTTATTTCCCTTATTTCATGACACTGGATCATCTTCTACATGTCTGTCCAAGAATAAATGACATGAGGATACTAAATAGCTGAAAGTTCAGGAACACTTGAGCATGAGAGTTCATCTACAAAGGTGAACATTCAGAAAGCAGCTCACTAAGATTGTCAGGAGGGGCAGAAGTGACCACTTAAATGGGTCCAAGGGACAAAGCATGGGCTCTCTAGGCAGAGGGACAAGTAAGAATAGAATATGATTATTCTTAAAGGGACTTGAAGAAATGAAGGTGAAAATTATGGTAATGGGCTTCTCCAACTATATACTCAACATTTTTTAATGAATTTTTTTTGGTGGTACTGGAGTTTGAACTCAGGGGCCTACCCTTGCTAGGCAGGCACTCTACTGCTTGAGTTACTCTGCCAGCCCCTAGACTCAATGTTAATGCCACCAGGTTTCATCAATTGAATTACAGTATTTGTGGAGTAGTGTCCCAGTTCTGTGACTACTGCCAAGAATGTGACTTGAATAGATTATCATAAATATCATAAAATTGATGGGTATAGACCAAGAACTATATGAGGTCCTTAAAATTCAGCAAGAATCAAAGATGGATGTCAATTTAAACAAGGCAGTTACTGAATCATTGGGTGGGGGATGCATTAAACATCAAGATAGTACCACTGAGAGTGAGGGAGAAAGGGAAGATGCTTGAGTTAAGTTGTAATGGGGGCTTTGTTTTGCAGTGCTTTCCTCTGACCTGCAGCTACTTAATTTTAAAACACTATCTTATATCAAAGTATAAAGGAAAGAAAACATCTTACATGTCTGGAAGTCTTGGCTGTTTGGAACTCAACTCTATAAAGGTGGGAAGAAATTACTCCTGCTCAATATTTATCAGATGAAAGAACTAAGTGAACAGTTCACACAGCCAGAGACAGCAGGATACAAAATTTCTGACCACAAACCACGTGTGCTTTTCTTTCCCAGTCTGACAGCCTGTGTTCACTATTCAGAATTCAGTCTAACACCAATGACTTTTTTCTTCCTCAAGAAGGTAGGAATAGAACTATTTTTTATGACTAGGAGAAGAGTTTATATTACCCTTGGATTAACTACAGAATGCTTTTTATGTAAGTCAGACTAAATAGACATCTGTTTTCTACAAACATTCAACTCCACACAAACAGAACATTTTCAGTTTGCTTTGAAAGCAAAATACCATGTGTTGTAACTTTACAATGTTTTAAATAAGGTTAGAAACTCAAGTTTATGTTGCTGAAAATTTCATAAAATCAGTGGGCATAAGACCAAGGGCTATATATATGAAGGTCCTTAAAAATTCAACAAGCAGAAGAATCAAAGATAGACATTTCAACAAACCAGTGATTGAATCATTATATTAGCAATCTAGTGAAGCAAGAAGTGAATTATTAAAGTTTATCGTCCTCATTGGTTTGTAATACTGTTATTCAGTGTGTGGGTAGTTTTTAAAGTAGAACGAGTCACCCTAACAAAGCCATTTACTGCACTGGTTCTACACACAGTCTCTACTTTGCTCTTTATTACTTCATTTTGGAACTTTGATTGCTCTATTTTAGACCTAAGATTGTTCTAATGCTATACTGCAATTGTATGAGGGGCTTAGTTTTCACTTTGTTCTCAGAACCAGGCTGACTATAAATTTATCTCAGTTCTTTGAAGAAGCTAACAGTATATTTTCAAGAGGAAAAATGGTGGCATATATCCCTGTCGGGGAAAAGTAATCTCTTAAAAGCAGAATAACCTCCAGGCTACATCCTTTTAAAGAAGGACTTTCAAACGAGGACGCTTCAACTTTTATATGTGTTCTATATTTTCCTTCAGGCTTTGTACCTGCTTGTCTCTGTCTGTGTAACGTTTCTGTGTAATGGCCTGTACCGTCCTCACACCCATTAAATCCATGATGAAGTCATGCTGTTCCCTATTCTGATGTCGTAATAACTTCCAGAGCTCCAGCCAGATATCACATCCTGGGGATCATCTGAGGTTTCCATGGGAAAATGAGGCATAATGACCAGGAGTTAGAATACCTACAAAAGCAAATCTGAGTTTCATACATTGCCACATACTATAATGAAAATGAACTTTGTAAAGTGAAATCCATAGGAATGTCTCCATTTGGTTTAATTGCAGGCAAAGCTGTGTTCAGTTTCAGGCGTTGGTTTCATTAAAATTAAACCATCCTTCCCAGAGGTTCTGCCACAGATAATAAGATCATTTAGAGTGAGGAGGTGCTGAAAGAACAGGGCGAGCTTGTTGTTCTGTTTCCATGTCTGACAACTTCATCATCTTTCTTTTCACCTTTATTATTCAGCTGTCCTGATCTGCGTGTTGATCAATGTGGCTTGTGGGGCCTTCCTACAGCCACACACAAAGTCAGGTTCCCATTTACTAAGGCTAGTCTCTTGGTGGCTAGCCAGGGTGCCACCAAGGCTGATAGATGTGCAGCTGGCAGAAGTCTGGGTAGGGTTGGGGAAGAGTTCCAACCTGCGATAGCATCCATCCTGCCTGTGCCTGCTGGTGTCATGACCAGGTCCTCTAAGAACTCCATTTGGGGGAGCAGAGAGCTCCCAAGGGTGGTAACCATTAACCAGTGTGAGCCATAATGGACCGGTTAACTTGGCCTACATATTTCTCTAACCTCTAAAAGTTCTAGAAAACGTTTCTTGTGCCATTACCCTCGGCCTAATTGCCCTCTTTCTCATTTTATGCCCCTGCTAGACCACCGCTCTTGATAAGGAGAGGCAGGTTTTCCGACGAAGACGCAACCAGGATGTGAGGAACCGGTACAAGGCGCAGCCAGCCCCTCCGGAACTCAACTCGGAATCGGAAGACTACTCCCCGAGCTCCTCCGAGACTGTTCGCTCCCCCAACTCACCCTTTTAATAAGACCCTTTTACTCAAAGTCCTATCTTAACCCTTTGAGACTCTGAGATTTTTTTTCCCCAAATTTCTGTAAAACAGTTTCATCTGATCTATCTAGCACTCAATGCTTGAATGGCAGAACAGAAAGTGTGTTTTCGGGTTCCTTTGTAGCAATTTCCCTGTACTGAATGAGATGGCATGTAGCATTTGTGAAGATGGTGATTTGCTGCTAATAGGGTCCTTAAAGAGTTAAGGCAAATTTGCAGTTTTTTTAAACCTAGAAGCAATGAATGTTTTCATCAGTCAAGCTAGGATCTGCAGTTTGTGATGCAGAACGTGTTAACCCTTTGAGTGCTTAGAATTTCATGGAGAATCCTTGCTGGGGAATTTTTCAGGCATGTATTTCTTGATTTTGCTTTCGATCAAGGGGTGTTATTAAGATGCTGAAATGCCTAGACAAGAAGGGAATCTGGAATGACATCTTGGTTATCCTTTCCTGTGAGCTTAGAACGTGGCAGGTTTATAACTTCAGCATCTGCAACCCTGTTTCCTCACAGTCCTGTGAAGAAAGGAAGTTCTTTTCTTTAGAAGTATAATGGTCTGCTGCAGGTGAGCCTTGCATCTAGAGTAGAGGGAATTGGGTTTGTGGCAGCCTGACCCAAGAAATGGACACCCCAAAATTGTCTCCAGATGAAGACATATGATGATGCCCTAGAAATGCTCCCACAACAGCTGCTGCTAGTCTGTGCAGATCCTCAGGGAGTCACCACAGCTTGTCCCATACTTGATGAGTGAGGGTCTGTCTGCTCAGTATCAGACATCTACAGGAAAGAAACAACTGATGGAAAAGAGCAATAAATTGCCAGGTGCTGTAGAGGGCTGGAATCTCAAGCAGAAAGAGGAAACGAGATCTTGTGCTTTTTCTCACCTGCTTTTTCATTATACTGTGGTCATCAGTGTGAAACACACACATAGTATGAATCCATCCATCAGAGAGCTGGGGTGCAAGGAAGATTTGCAGGTGCTTTGCAAGGTGACTGAGGGGAAATCACAGCGGGACACAATCCAGAATGTTCCAAAAATGGGTTGTAAGGAAATAAAGCAACTCCATGAGTACTTTTAGATTATCTATAATCTCCTAGGAAGAGCAGAATGGAACACCTAGAAGACACCACAGAGGATAAAACTGTCATTCCCTAAGATGATTTTTTTTGTACGTCTTTAGCTGTTTGAAAGGGACATACTCTTTTTCTGTCTCTGGGCCAAGTCCTATCTGAGATCTGTATTTTCACTATTACCAATCTCTCTCTAGGCCTGTGTCTCCAGGCCTGAGTTTCTTCTAGAGCGTATCACATTTCAGAATGTGGGCCTGCTGCTTCCTGTTCATTATGGCAGTGCTCAGGAAGAAAACAGGGATATCTTGGAGGCAGGGGCCCAACTCAAGTGTCTCCTTAAGTTTTCTTAGCTTTGTGATCCAGTGAGTGATACCTCACAGGATTTGTCCAGATGACTGAACAACACTCTTTTTCTCAGTTTTGAATGTACTTCAGGATATCCACAAGCCTTGAAACTTCTGAGCAACTTTTCTAGTCAGTTCTTTATTTTCAAACTCACATTGATCTTCACTTTCTGCTTTTTACTTCACACCTTTAAACTACAATCTGCCTTCCTATGGATTTATAAATAACAGCATGCCATTCGTCTGCCACACAGACATCCAGGATTTCTGCTCTTCCACACTTAATCATAACATTTATTGAGGGTAATTCTTAAGGGAAAAAAAAACTCTTTTAAGAATTTGGAAATGATGACACATAAAATCACAAAGTAGCACAAATCAGTACATCAATTGAATTTGGTGTTTTTTGGGGAGTGGGGGAAGCACAGAACACCAGGAAGGGTGTTGGTGTATAGGTAAATTCCATAGTCGTGAAGGACACTGAGGGGCCAGAAATGATTTCTTTCTCTGAAACCAAAAAGCAAAGCACTATCCTAAGGCTAAGGAATAACTATCTATTTTAGCCTCAACTCTAAATATGGTGACTATAAAGAATCCTATGGGCAGAGACCTACTTGCAGAGGATTGTCATTTTCCTTTCTTTTTCTGAATTGCTGCTTTTTCCATGTACATTAAAGGTGTTGCTACAGCATCCAGTGTACGGGACCTAAGGTGCATTGCTCAGGCCCTTGCCATCAACACCTAGGGGCACTCAGGAGTGTTTCTCAGTGCACTGTAGAGTGGCAGCTCAGAAGAATGCAGGGCCCATTCAGCATGTGGAGCCCAGCACATCGCTGTAGAATCTGAGTGAGCTACGCTGAGCAAACAGCGGAATGTAACCTGTCAAGTAGAAATATTGAGTAATCAGATGGAATGCAATCTTTCCAGCATTAAGCTACTGAGATGTTGAATGTCAGAGATGTACTCAGAGGGTTAACAGACAAGCACAAGGCATGCTGAAGATATTGGTGTATCCAGATTACTTTGCTTTTAGCCAGTGCTTTCTGATTTTTTTCTTAACATTCTTGGGATAGTTCAAGTTTGAAATAATTAAGTGGTGGTGTTCTTTAAGGAATTTCTATAACCAAATTAATCATATTTTTTATTTCACTTATCATAGAACAAATATGTACCATTATGCAGTGTATCTCTGTAATTATCAATTTAATCATCGCCACAAGTGTTTCCATATTTTTTTTCAGATATTTAAAATAGCCTTTATGGTAGTGGCCTAGTGATGGGGACTGTCTTTCCTTTACTGACACATGACCAACCATATGGTGTTTTCAAGGGAATTTTAAGATTCACTTTTGACAGTAGACTAGTTAAGGAAGAATCCTTCATTACCTGCATCATATAAGTCATCTCTGTAGATGAGAGCTGTTCATATTAATGAGCACATTTTTCTCAACATTGTAGCAGAAATCATTTATCCATCATGATCAGTGAATATGTGATTTGCTCCACACCATTAGAAGGAGAAGTAAGATTTCAGTTGTTGAAATGTTTTTACCGTAGCCCTCATCTAACTTACACGTGGTGCATATTAAAATAAGCAGAAAAAAAAATGTGAATAAACTACTAAAAACACTTGGTGTTTTGTATTCAATGAGACCTTCCCAGAACCTATTTAGCACCCCCATGGGTGGTGGTTAACAGGCCCATCAGATATTCTTGAAAGAAAGCAATATATCCATGAATGAAGGCTAAAATTGCAATCCTTTACCCTCTGAGGCATATATCAGTTGAAAAAAGAAAAGAAAAGAAAAATTGACTCAGGGGGTCACGGTGCTACCGTATGACCAGGGCTCAAGCACATTAAATCACGGTTGTTTGCTGGCCAACGGCATCCGTTAGACAACTCTATCCCCGTGCTGAAGCACAATTGTGCCAAGGGAGAGCTTTTTTAATATTATTGTGTTGCCCCCTAGCCCTTCTCTGGGTAAGGATCTGTCAGCATTTCCATGATAAACTCCTATTCTCGAAGGTTTTTAATTTAACCATAAAAATGTGCCCCAGGCTGAAGTTTGCTATTCAGGGTCTGTACCAAAGAGTGACTCTCTTCTCAACTTCCTTTCAATTCTTCTAAGAAAAGAACAACAAGAATCAATATTTGTCCTTAATTGTGATTTCAGAATTTTGGAAAGCACTAAAATCCGAAAAGGTAATTTTAACATAGTTACTCACTTGAATGTGGTTCTTCTTACTGGATCACCTGGCATATATTGTTGATAACATATTTTCTATAATTCATAAGTCATTCATTTTTAATTGCTACATAATTTTTTGTTCAACAATTTAAAAAAACTTGAAGTTGGTCAGCTCAAAGGTCAACCTTTCCACTTGTCTGCCATTTCCATTAGGGGTTTGGGAAAAATACTCTCAAATAGATCCTTACTTTGCATGTAGTATAGAGGAACAAATATGTGCTTCTTTGCAGGTATGAATTTCCTCTTTTAATCATCAAATTTCATGAAGCCATTCTAGTCTGTTGGGAAAATAATGATTAAAAGCACTTCCAAAATAATACTTTTTTCAGTTCAGATACAAAGATTGTATAAGATAATACTCTTCACACTTTTTATTTAAAGCTAAATAAATCAATGAAACTTGCAAACATACAGAAAATTTGATCACTGCAAAAAGTACTTTAAAATCTGGTCCAATGGTGCTTAAACGTGGAATAGTTACAGATGGGGTCTCCAAACCATCAGATAGAATCTTTAGTTTGTATGTGATTACATACTGAAGGAAGAGGTGCTCTTAAGCCAGTCTTTTTTTTTTTTTTCAGTCTTTTATTTTTTAGTCATTTCAAATATGCAACCATCCATCCAGTACATTAAGGGTCATGAACTAGTGGGAAACAGGAAATTCAATGTAGAGGCTTAGTCTACCTCTGGTTGGAGTGGGTTTTTTGTTGTTGTTTTGTTTTGGTTTTGTTTTTGTTGTTGACTGCAACACAGGCTTTAGTGAGAGAACATCGAACTGGCAGGTGTTTAATTATGAGATTTGCGTTATTTTGCCCATGGAGACAAATCACAGATCTAGGTTTATTCTTTTTCCCTAAAGGAAAAGCAATCTCTAAAACTAACCCATACCTGTAAATTTCCTCAGTATTTTTTTTGTACTAATATGAGACCCTTAATGTTGCTTTAATGTAAAATTGTATATTTTTGTCTGTGACATACTTTATTAATTTAAAGTAATAGTTCTAAAACCTTAACTGTCGTATTAAAAGAAAGTAGAATTTTAAGAGTGATGTTAAAGATACTATTAATATCAGTTCATTCCAATCCAATCAAATGTGGTAAGGAAAAGAACTTGACTAGTTCTTTAGGCACAATTTCTCACTAATCTCTGGTGTATTTTCAGAATAAATAAGAAGAAATTGAAACTGGTCCAAGGTTAGAGTCATAGCCTCAACAACTTTTTAAAAAATTTTTATTAGGAAATTAATAATAGCCTTTTTCATTCTGACTGAAAGAAAATTATTAAAGGATTAGTTGAGTGTGAAATTAAATAGTATTTTGCTCATGCAT